CCTAGCCTAGCTGGTCATGTCATGGGTGGAGAAACTCGATGGCTTGCAGTCTGCTCAGTGCATCCGGGCTGTAATGATTACATCATTCGGCCTTCAAATTCAGCCTTTGGAGGACGCGGCCTGTGTATTAATGTGTGCCAGTTTCCTGAGATTTTTTTTTTCCAAATCCATACGATGCTTCCTTTACAGGAGCTTAGTTTGAGGTTGTTGTTGCTTCCCCGCCACCCATTTCCTGATGTATTTCTTTTCATTTGCAAAAATGGGTCACCCTTGGTCATTGTTTTTATATATGTCTCTCGGATGCATCGTGTCTGTATTTCGTTGCACCTTAGAGTAGGGGTTAAAAAGCGCCACTGTTGCATAACTGAGGGGTGAAAGTGCACGAACGGCTGGAGATAAGTTTTAAGAAAAAGGCACATCAAAGATTTACCCTGTTATGTAATTTCACACTTTATACACGTGCAAGAACTCCAGAGACTAGTTTGCATGCTCGCAAAAAAAATCCCCGCCACCTAGTTCCTGATGTATTTCTTTTCATTTGCAAAAATGGGTCACCCTTTGTCATTGTTTTTATATATGTCTCTCAGATGCATCGTGTCTGTATTTCGTTGCACCTTGGAGAAAAAGGACAATGAAGTCATTCTGGGTCTGGGTTAAAAAGCGCAACTGTTGCATAACTGAGGGTTCAAAGTGCACGAACGGCTGGAGATAAGTTTTATGAAAAAGGCACATCAAAGATTTACCCCGTTATGTAATTTCACACGCGCAAGAACTCCAGAGACTAGTTTGCATGCTCGCAAAAAAAAAAAAAAAACTCTTCCGATATGTCCCCTTTAATATTGTTTTCCTCTCTGTGAACGTTCCTCCTTTCTGTTCAAATTGTGAAGTTTTATAATGACTCACGGAGACTTTTTGATGTCTGTTTGTTTGTTTCAGGACATTGCCACTGGGAAATTAATTCCACTTTTAAAAAGTGCATCTGAAAGACAGAGTGCTGTTGTTTTCATGACTCAGGATAAAGTTGGAGGGCATAGGATGAGATGCGCTCAATATTTACAGAGACAGTACGGACTCCCTCAGCCTTCAAGTGTGTGTGTGTGTGTGTGTGTGTGTGTGTGTGTGTGTGTGATCTGTCAGAGCGCCATCCTGGAGCCATAAAACAGAGTAAAGTGCACGATGGAGAGTTTGACAAGTGGCTCTCGTTCATCTCCTGCAGGGGAGCCGTTTTCCAATGAGAGAGCATTTCACTTTTGCTGAAGTCCTATGCGCATATGATAGTAAACGAAGACAGATGAATAGTTTAAATTGTAAACAGACTGCACCACAAACTATAATCATCCCAAAGCACTTCAAAATATTTTCAAACTCATTTTCATGACGCATAAAATAAATGGCTTGCAGATGATTGAATTTCATGTACATGCATGAGGCAAACACTTTGCATAACTTCCACGAACGACCCAGGCTAAACTTAGTTCCTCCCAGACATGCAAAGCTCTCAGTCAACAATATTTCCTTGACATCGGATAATACTTTCTTATTAGATGGGGCTTTGTCTCTATCTTGGGGCCGAACAGAAAAACAACAAAAAAAAAAAGAGTAAAAGAGAATTTGTGAAAAGCGAATAGGGGTGGGGCTCATTGTAAATTCCTGAAAAAAAATGTAACCCAATCAAAAAAACATTCATGCTTTTATTAAGGTACCAGCAACTGCCTGGCTAATTCTTTCTGTCTTGATTTGCAATAAAAAATTTTAATTACAAACACCAAATGGTGGCAGCAAACGTCACAAAAAACGACAACAAAATAACTTTAGTTGTATTGCCACTGCCAATAAAGTGTACTGGGAAACTAAACAGAAAACAAAGACGGCTAAACGTTTCGGATTTAACTTCGTCCTTCCAGTAGTAATGTTTACACTCAATGCAAAACACCATAAATGGGCTAATGGAAGTGGATGTTGCAGTAGTTCTAACCCTTTATGCAATTGATATCTAAACACAAATGATGAAGCAACACATGTAGACAGATAATGCAACAATACTGTACTCACCATCTTGGGTGAGCTGCAACAGTTTAATGCGTCTTCATTCATTTCAATGGGGAACGATGATTTAAGCTCCAAGCGTGCCTGTTGGAACGAATGAAATTCATAAGTCAAGGCACAACTGTTTATTTTATGTATAGTTTCTAAGTTTCTTCACATTTCCTCTACAAATGAAAGGATGCAAAGTTGAAACATATTAAAACACATGAAGAACTGAACTTTTCAACCTGCTTTTAATTTCCTCCCATGCAGATAGGGTCACGCTCCCCACAGCTTCGCCGTACTTTCATTCCGAGACGAAGCTCAACCATCTGAATTTTAGATCAGCGTATTTTCAGGCGGAGGAGAGATTAATAACGCTGTTAAAAACAAATAAAACCTCTCAATGGGCTTTCGCTCCAGATCAAAAATAATTAGCGTCGAATCAGGCTGGATCGGTTGAAAAAAAAATTCGCCTTTACATCCAGTTTCATTGAGCGACTAAATCCTCAGTCGGTCCTTAAATGATAAACCCAAACGCTGATGCTGCCAGTTCGACTGGGGAGCTCTGGATCAGCGTGATTACTTTGGGCTGCCTACAGAAGATCAAAGTAATCCCCAAATACGAGTATGTACACGGAACAAGAATGCCATACCCGTATGCGCGGTTAGGAAATGTCATTTACCACATTCGGGGAAAACATTAATTTTACCTGCTAACGCAGCTACTGAGCAAGCTGCTAACTTCTGTGGTGTTTCCCCTCAAACTTTTAGAGCAATTGTAGAAATGTGATGTTGTCTCGAATCTTGGCAGAGAATATGTTAAAATGTGTTCCAATAACAATACTTCACCCAAGCATATGTTCACATAGCGCTTGAGGGAGGAAAGCGGAGTACCCGGAGAAAACCCACGAAGGCACAGGGAGAACAGGCAAATTTCACACAGGAAGGTCGGAGCCAGAATCGAACAATGCTCCTCTGCACCGTGAGGCGGATGTGTTCACCAGTCTTCTCACTGTGCCGGCCGTTATTTAGGGGTCCCTGGCTTACATATTCGCACGGTCAGTTGCCCCGCCCCTCACCCAGCATCACTCGGAAAAGGCTCCCGCTCACCCTCAATCTTTGCCGGCATAAGCAGAATCAAAAACTTACATTACATTCATCAGTTAGGACAGAAATCCACAAATCAAAATATAAATATTAGTACAGTCAAATGAAACGTTCATTAATGATAATTTTTGTGTGTGTATCTAAATGTATGCGCCTCTGTGTCTTGTGCTGTGGGGTTTTTTTTTTTTTCCCCCGAATGTATAGTCAGTGCCAGCATGTGTACTCGGTGGGTCTCATTTCCTGATTCCCGGTCAGATGCTGATTTCTCTTTTGTGTGTCGGCTCCACAATGTCACGAGCTTCCGCCAAACATGCCAGTCGTCGCCATGGAATCACACAAAGACCTTTGAAAAAGGGAGGGTGAGTCAGGACATTTTTTATATCATGTTTGACCCATTTTGCCTCCAAACAGGACGAATGCTTCTCCAATACAGCTGCTTCTTCTTCTTCTTAGCATTTCATGATAAATGGCTTCCGACCCCGGGCCTCGTCTCCTGCGATACACAGGCCTCTTTCCGCTAATGGCTGCAGCTCCGTCTCCATTTATCCATTAAGGCCATTTGGAATCGGTCTTCCTGTGCCTTCTATTTTTGACTTTCTTCTCCCACTGCTTCTATCACACAACCAGTCTCTCAATTTGCCAAATGGAGTCACGACTCTTAGGGCACGACGCCGCAGTGAGGAGGCGACCACCCACTGGGCTTTGTCTAACTTTATGCCATGTTGGATACAAGTCGAGTAGATACAACGAGAATACTCACACACAAAATCTCCAAAAGTCCAATAACACACAAACAAAGAGCAATACTGGAACAACCAAATCACTTACAAGGATTTATGAACAAAATGAGGGCGACTGGAAATGGTATTGAGAAGTCTAGAAAACCCATACTTGGAGCACAACAGCAAGCAAGGTCAATAATCAGGGTCCTTAAATACACAGCCAAGCTTGTTGGGGAAATGAGGCACAGGTGCACCTGCCGGAGGGAAATGCCCTTCATTCCAGCTGACAAGACAAAACATGACATACGAGAAGCACAAAGTATTATTTAAAATTATTATTATTATTATTATTATTACGACTACTATTACTACTACTACAATGGTTAACATTTTTTTTAAACTAAATGTATGTGATGCTGTGAGTTGTTTGCGCTGATTCAAAATATACCCTAATTTTATTCTGTAGCACATCAGGTTTGCATGATAATAATACTATTAATAATGGTGGCCCGCTGGTCCAGTGGTTAGTGCGTTGACCTCACAGTGGAGAGGTACTGGGTTCGATTCCCGCTCCGGCCTTCCTGTGTGGAGTTTGCATGTTCTCCCTGTGCCTGTGTGGGTTTTCTCCGATTTCCTCCTACATTCCAAAAACATGCATGGTAGGCTGATTGAATAAGTGCTTTTCTCCATCATCGGGTGGGTGGCCATTTTGCCACGAGCTGTCAACGGAAAACGACAGCAAAGTGCATCAGAGCTCAGGTTGTGAATGTCACATGACCAAACTCGAAAAACAGGTGAGCCATGATTGTTCATTACCTGATCTGTGATTAAAAATTTGCTGACCAATGTTATTATGACCTTCACTGTCATTATGAATTTTTGTTTACACCAAGCCTCTCTGGGTGGCCTCAAAAGCATGAGGAGTGTCCAATATTTTATGATGATGATGTGTGTGACAGATCATATTTTATTACAGCGTAGCCCCCGGTGGACAAGCGGAATGCCAGCGTTACCAATCCTAATGTGCAAGCTCTTATGAACCAATGAAACGTTTATACCAGCTCGAAAATACAACAATTGGCCATGTGAATATCTACTCCAAGCTAATTTTTTTCCATCCACTAAACATTCATTTGACAGATGTTTTTTCATCACCTCTTTCTTTATTGCAATTGGAGGAGTTTATATGATAATAACAAAGATCATCACAATGCATTTGCACTCACTGTTGATGTCATACAATATTATACAGCATTGCAATGGGGTCTTGATAATCTACTGTCCAAAAGTGACTTGCCTCTGGTTTAAATGAACATTATACACCGAAGATCAAAATCAGCATCGATGTGATCCAAAAACATTTAATGTTCATAAAAAAAAAAAAAAAAAAAAAAAAAAAAAAGCTCATTTGAATCCCAGATCATTCATTAACCAACAATGAAACAACCAGCCAGGAATCAGCAAGGAGTCCTTCAATTCTATCACTCGTATTTTAAATTGTTGACAAGTAATTTTATAAATTAAAGACGAAGGTAAAAAAAAAAAAAAAAAACATCATAAAACAATCGCTAGCGTTGTGTGCACGTAGCGTCAAAAAATGTCTTTTCTCGCCTTTGGGGTCACCAGAATTGCAGCTCCCTCTGCTCTCATGTGAGGCGACAGGCTTTAAACCAGCTTGACAGCGCCGACGAAGGTGGCGTCCCCATCCAGGGACACATTGGCAGTGGACCTGGGGATCAGCAGCTCCAACTGGTCACCGACTTCCAGCTTCGCGACACCTGAGGGGAACGTCAGCACACTTCACACCTTGAATTGGCATTGCTGTTTGCTGCTTAGCTCGCGACGCACCGCCCGCTGTTAAAGGCAATGTACAAAGTACAGTGAATAATGAATAATAATAATGCACCTCCTGTGTAACACGTGTTGTAAGGGTACACGCTGTCCATGCTCTGGATGCAGCGGAACAGGATCACGTACTGAGCCTCGTCGCCCACCACCGTCCTCTTCCTGCGGATCACCACGTGGCCCATTGCAAATCTGCTGTCCATGTAGTAGACCTGACCGTGAGGAACAAATTAAGGTCTAAAGATAATACAAGAACGATAATACACTATCATGAATTTTACAATATGTTTAGCACCGTAGTAAAACTGAGTGATTGGTCGATTTTAGCATCGGGGAATTCGAGCCAATTTCGAACGAAGATATTTTTAAAACCTTTTTTATTTAACACAATTTTCTTATCTTATGTGTCCTAACGCACTGAAAGAAATTTGAAATGATATTCAAAGTCCATTTTATTAAGGATTTTTCTTCAGGAAATGTTACTCGCATATTATTAGCTTTTTACGAACAATTACCGTATTTCCCGCACTATGAGGCACTTTGGAGTGTAAGGCGCACCTTCAATGAATGGCCTATTTAAAAACTGTTTCATATGTAAGGCACACTGCATTATAAGGCGCATAGAACAGAAGCCACAATAGTGGCTGTGGTTGCGTCATGCATCCACTAGATGGAGCTACGCTAAAGGGAATACAATACAATACAAAACCGTTTTATTGATATAGAGCCTTCACAACTGCGGCAGCTGTAACAAAGCGCTTTACAGAACATTTAAAATACTGCGTCCAAGAAATCAGAGTATCGATCCCTCTAGAAGGCGCATTGGATTATCAGGCGCACTGTCGGCTTTTCAGAAAATAATCAGTCTTCAGTTCACGACAAAAAACAAAGGAATTGACCTTTCCGTTCCAATACTTTTCGAGTGAAATAACAAAAGAGATACAGGAGCAGGTAAAATGAATGAGCAGATAAAAAAAATAAAATCGATCTGATGTTTTTGTTTTTGGCCACAATGCATTCCGACTTGTGGAGAACTCTGCTTTGTACTATAAATAGCCTTTAGTCAGCCCATAAATAGCCCTGCGCTGGATACAACATGTTCGGATCTGCCGTAGAACTGGAGATGTTTTTTTTCCAGACGTATACCAGTACGAATACTCACTCATGACTACTCACCGATACCAAGTACCGATACAACCGATTCCTTTTGATACACGAAATTGCAATGAACAATCATGACAGTACCCGTGAACAAAGACCTTTCTTTCTTTCCGTTGCCCATGATGTCTGAATTATAAGTGGCTGGCAGCGGCAACCTCGAGGAGTACAATAATACCTTGAAATTTGGCTGCTATCTGTAGGAAACAATACTGATAGTTGCACTCACACACCTGTGCATAGAACTAAATCATACACTAAAACCTCTGTGACAATCTTCATGATTAATCAATATCTTACAGACCTGGACTATTTTTTTTTTTTTTGGATACAGCTCTTGTTATGGATTTCATTAGATTGGTGCAAGTGTAACTAATGAAGTGTTCTTTGCATGGGACTGGTCGATTACCTGGGTTTTATCATGCTTGAACAATGATGTGTCATTAAATATTCATTTTACAAGCACGCATCATTTGCATAGATCGTTTTCTGCGCTGATTGCAGAGGAGCTCGTCTCCTCTGGAAAGCCAGGCAGTTTGAAACATGGGCTGGCGGCGCCCCCGTGTGGTAAAACTAAGAACTAACTTGTAGCATGCGCTACAAACCTGACTGTAGACAAAGTAAAAGCCCTCCTCTCGGACCAGCATGTTATCTCCCACCACCTCCAGCGAAGACCCTCTCCTCAGACCAGTCATCCACGGGATGCCCGTGTATGGCTCCAGGGCAAAATCTGATGCGAGAAGACACATTTATTATCTTGATTTCGGTGATGATTTTGGAACTGTTGAAGTCGGTTGTTGGTCTACAACACGGTTGCTCATTACACCGATCGCGATCGACCGGTAGATCGCGGACTGGTCCCAAGTCGATCGCGAGGGGTGGAGAGGAAAAAAAAGCAAACAAATATTTGTGTGTCTCTGTGCATGTTAGTAATATATTTTTTTGTGTTAATGTACACTGCACCCTAATCATCCTATCAGTCTCATTTTCACAAAAAGTATTAAAAAAATAAAATATAACAAAGCAGGTAAATCTTTAACCTATGGTGGCCCGTGACCTGCGTCACCGGAAGTTGTTATTTTTTGTCGTTATCATTATTCTCATTCAGAGTTTGTTTTGTGTACAATTCACCGAGGGCACGGGCAAGGAATAGAAATCTAGAGGGCCGAGGGAGGCGCTTTAAAACGGTACGTGTGAGCTACGATAGTTAACAGGTTGCAAAAGTGCGCCGCATGCCTCCGTGTCAGGCTGTTGCTCATCATGGCGTGTGTGTGTATGTGCGCGGTAACGGGTCGATCGCGGGAGGTTGGTTGATCGAAAAGTCGATCTTCAGTCCAAAAAGTTTGGGCACCCCTGATGTAAGGAGTCACCAACATAGTGCCCGCGGGCACTTGAGTGCCCCCAAGGACTCACAAGAGGCAATGTCTTCAGACACATTCAATTTCAGAAGTTTCACTGTACACATAGCCGACTTCAACATTGTACTTACCTTTCCTGAAGATTTTCCTGCTCTTGTTCGCCAACAATTGGAGACAAGATTGGGAAACTGGGGGGAAAAAAGAAGCCACCGTTTTTTCTTTTTCCTCTAAAATCCAAGGACAATCAAAGAAAGACGATGACAAAGAGGAACTTCTGATACAAAGGCTTGTGACGTCTCACCTGATGTGTCTGTTCCGGACACCATCCTCCTCCTCCTTAACAGGGTGAATGGGTGTTGACGATCTGGCTGGCCGCTTCTCTCATCACTCACATCCTTGCAAGCATACGTGTCGATTGTTAGTTGTTTTTTGGTGGTATTTTATTTTTTACGTGTCCAGTTCGGCTGTTTAGTCATGCAATGCAGGCAGCAAGCTAGTATGAGGTGGCGACGGCCCTGGAATAGGTACGGGTGATCCCGGTGAAAATGTTAGAACGGTTCACCTGCTCTCCACGCTTGGGCTCCTGACTCTCTTCCCTCCTGCGAAACACCTCGGACTTCAAGCCGTCCACCTCAGCGCTGAGGACCACCAGCCGGTACAAGGAGAGCGCAGACAGAGAGGACGAGGTGATGACCGCTAGCGTGAGCAAGAGGACCGGCCGGGACAGCCCTCGGGCCTCAACAGCCTTCTGGCACGCCCCAGGATCCAAATGCGAGCCCACTGCCATTTTCAAGCTTACTCACGCTGGCAAGGGAGTCAATTCCTCACCGCCAATGCTCTTTGGTTTCACATTCGTTCTCCAGCAATTTCCAGTGTAATGAATACAGTATCAAGAAAAAAAAAAAAAAAGAGAGTGACGCTTCCCCCTCCTTGTTCTGCTTGGCTAACCACATCAACTTCCTGCCTCAACAGTGGCCCTGACCTCACTCAATACACACTAGTGGTGCATCGTAGAGACATATTTTCAATCTAAGGCATGAATTTGGCCAAATGTTGAGATTTGGACCCTACTGTCCAATCGCGGTAGTTGATTGTTTTTGTATCCCCTTCCATGTACGCTGTTTAGTGTGACAAAAAGGCCCCAATTGTACACCTGCATCACCTCAATGTTCCCCTCTTCTTATAGGGGAATGATTGTTGCACACTATTTTGAAGCCTCCGCACTTCAGAGCTGCGACTGGTGCTCTTTCAGGAGTTGGACCGGATGTAGGGGAGAGGGGAAAAATGGAAGCGTTTGAGAGTTGTGCCTAAAGCAGCAAGAAAAAAAAGCTGATCTGAATACTGCATTTATTTAACTCAAATAATAAAGGTAAAGCCCGCGTTAAAAAAAAGGAAGTAAATGGAAACACATTGAGCAGAAAGATGACAGTGACAAAAGTTCTCTGAACATAAAAAGTGAAGTGTCATCAACGGTCAAACGAAATTGTCTTCCGTGATTAATTTCACTCATTTGACAGTGGCGCAAGGACTCATGTATCAATTTTATTGCATGTTACAGCACAGGATACACAAAGTGAAAAGAGGTGCTTACAAAAGCGATGAGTGGATACAAATTCAGAAATGGTGAAAGTGGGAGGAAAGGTGGTCATTCATTGACTTGAGGATGAAGACGATTCATTCGCATGTCCGCTTAGGAAAATGTATATTTGTCAAGTCTTGATACAAAAAAAGTCAATACAGTGCAAGTTTGTTACAGAAACAATCACATGCCAGTTCCTGAAAGCAACACACACACGTGCACTCTTGAACAATTCCATCAGTGAATCCCGATTCATGATGCAGTCGCCATTTACGCAAACATTTATAAAAACAAACGCATTCCGACTGGCTTTGCAGCTTTTAATCACGCAGGTGACTTTGAGAGAACCCCAATCCTTTCAATTTGCAAAAGCCAAGTATGCAAACTGGTTTCACGCTGAAAGAAAACAAAAGCAAACGTGTTCCATGAAGCGCAGTGTCAACATGTCAGAGATAATCGAAGAAACCTCAGCTCACTTGATGCCATGGTGGGGAAGATCAACAAACAAAGAGAAACGAAGAAACCTCAGCTCGCGATGCCATGGTGGGGAAGATCAACAAACAAAGAGAAGCCCACACAGCTTATCAAACACAAACAATTACATTCATAGCAACTCTTCTCATTTGGCTTTACAAAACTGTAGTACCAAATATGGCTGAAGAGCTCCGCTTGTGTGCCGTACTCAAATGGTTTCATTGTTCTGCACTTTTTCAAGCAAGGGCAGACAATGTGGTTTTTAAATCATCAAACTCCGCCAGACCCCCCCCCCCCCCTCCCGGAAGACATCGGGGGGGAAAGGTTAATTAGCTCATTAACAGCCCCCTTCCCCCAAAGGAGTAAAGCCATTTTGGCACATATTGTGGGAGGGTAACAAGAACCTCAAAACACAAAAGATGGATTCTTAATAACGCATGCGTCCACTTGTCTGTTGAAATACACACACGAGTCCATCATAGCCTGGATTCCAATTGCTATTCCAGTGGATGGATATACTGTAGTTCTGACAAACACAATACTTCAAAATAAATAAATAAATAAAAGTGATGATGAATCCAAATCTTAAAGAGATGACATTTTCATTCTGCGACTTGACAGAGGAGTATTAGGGCCACACAGAAAAGGACACGCCCCCATAATTGGAAGGTTTCAATTCAAAGAAAGAACAATTCAGTGGAATATTTGAATGTATTTTTCAAAATGTTGAAAGTTGTATCATTTCAAGTTTTCTTGTGGTTGTTTTTTTTTTTTTCTTCAAGAAACTATGTTAGTGCGTGTGCTGGGGCACCGTGGCTTGGTCGCAAGTCCATCGCAGGGCAAATAAAGACAATCAGTCACACTCGCGATGACAGACAACTTTTTCAGGGAAAAATTCACAAAAAAAACAATTTGGATGTTTTTTTTGTGTCACTATGTTCCTCCATGTTGGCCCTAACGCCCCGTGTTGTTTTCCTTGGCATCAAACTCAAAATATCATTAGGAGGATGGTCATGAAATAATGAAGTTGTATTTACATGAATGTGCATGATTTATTGTGACATAGGGCTGAACGATTTCAGGAAAAGATTGAATTGCAAAGTCATTTCACCATATTTTTGTTTCCCAAAATAAAACTTCAGGGCAATTTTCACTATGTACATTACCATTTCCATCGACGCAATTTACATCGTATCATCCATCATTTTTTAAATGATTTCTATTCCGTTGGGGCATACGTCAGCCAGCAGTGGCCTATAAGCTTAAAAGTATATTAATATTGTGGAAAATATTTATCATATTAATGCTGGGTTTTTTTTTTTTGGTCTTGAGTTTTGAGTCCGTACAATAAATATTCTCAATTTACAGTCTCCTGTCTTTTTTTTTTTATTTCATTCAATTTAGCTTTGCTAAGACATTCGAAAATACAAAGTTTCGAAATTGCCCCGCTGAAAATGTTTTGAGGCAAGAAACTGTAGTTTGCTGCTACACACCGTGGGAATTTGAAAAATTAGACGTATGACTCATAAAAAGAAAAGCAAAAAATCAGCTGTTCATTTGTTATATTTTCATATTTTTATTGTTTAATAAAACCAATGATTCAGGTTGCAGCTCTCGCTCTCTCATACAGACAAAAACAAAAAAACGAAGCTTTGACGATACTGTGATCACATCATCTGGAGCCACGATTTCGATGAGAAAAAAAAAATGCAAAATCGTTCAGCCCTCGTGTTACAGTCAGATGTCACGTCTTGTGGGATGGACTAAAGAGTTGCCATGTCGTTGCCGCTCCATAATCACATGACCACAGATTACGTCAGCAGCTGAAATACGTTTCGGCCCGCATGATCATTCACTCGTGACCTCATTTATTAAGACAGTGATCCCCAACCAGAGTGCTGCGGCCTTTTTTATGAGTCACTAGAAATTATTCAATTTTCACCACATTGGTCCGAATAGTATTTATTTGTATTAATGATGTGTTGCTGTCTGTGCCAGCACAGAATAATTAAATGCTCTTCAACTAAATGGGAGAATGTGTTTTTGTTATGTGCTGTCCCTTGGGATTTTATTCAAATCAAGACTATATCCCCTGACTTATGAAAGGTTGGGAAACTCCGTATTAAGAGTCACAAACGAATGCATTCGTGGCTGGAACACAAGACAAAGGTATGTTTCCGCTCCCTGAACAAAACCGATTTACAGATTGAGGGGGAAATTAAATAAGAGTAAAAAAAAAGTGCCCTCAGATGATGGTGACACTCGCAGATGTCTGCACGCTCTCCTCGTGGGCGTGGCTCTTGAGGAGCTCACAAACAAACTGCTCCAAGGCGGCAAAGTAGCCCTGGCACTGCCACGTGTCGTTGTGCGTGCCCTCGGGGAAGATGGCCAGGCGTTTAGTCCGTGACGGTGACATTTCGTACAGTTGCTTCATCATGACCGGCGGTATGAGCTGGTCCGACAGGCCGGAGACGAACAACGAGGGCATGCGGCATAGCGCCACCTGCCGATAGGACAGGAACTTATTCCTGTAGCACCACAGGGGCAGCAGGCGCATGGGCAGAAAGGAGAAGAGCGTCGTCGCCATGTGTGGGATGCTGAGGAATGTGTTTTCCACCATAATGGCCGCCACGCGGTGCGGATTAGTCGACGCCAAGCGGATGACCACGGCGCCCCCGAGCGAGCGGCCGAACAGTATCACTTTGGTCTTGTCCAAATCGGGCCGGGTCATCACGTAGTCCAGCGTTGCCTCTGCGTCCAGGTAGAGGCCCTCCTCGCCGGGCTCGCCGTCACTCTTCCCGTAGCCGCGGTAGTCCACGAGTACGACGTTGGCCTTCAGGTTGACCAGCATCAGCAGCGCATTGGGCACCCTGTGGCCAATATTGCCCGCGTTGCCGTGGAAGTAGAGAATGGTGGGCGGCGCCGAGGACGCGGGCCCGCTCACATTGGCGCCCGCGACTCCGGGAGGCGCGTCCCCGCCCGTGAAGCGCAGCAGGATCAGGTTGAGCTTTACACCGTCTTTCGTGCGGATATACACGTTTTCGTGAGGGATTCCTGTCGGCACGGGGACGTAGAGGCGTGACGACGACGGCTGGTCGGGGAAGTAGAGCAGCGCGTCTTGGAATTTGTAGAGGATTCCCGCCACGGACACAAGGATGAGAGCCAGGAGGATGAAACCGCCATACAGGTGGTAGGTTAGGATCAGAGCCAGCAGGGAGACACGGCAGGCGCCCCAGGACCAGGAGACTAAAGTGAGAGCACAGCGCTCTACTGAGCCCCACAACCTCAAGGGCTTCTCCATGGCAACACAGAGTGTGGTCACAATAACAACAACCTGAAAATACAGAGAGGCCCGCACATGAGCAGAAGAGACCCCCAAACTAAATACAGTACCAAATGACAATTTTAACTAATTATTAAGTAGAAATTTGCATATAATGCAACCTTGATTCAACGGACAGAAAATACTGGCCATTCAAAATGCCCCTTTGAATAATCCCTTTCAAAGTCTGGCAGTTGCAGAATTGGCCGCAATTTGGCACATGGGCGCTGTGGTGCCATCACAACACTGGTCACGTGTTTCTGACTTCCTCTGTCTTCTGACTTCCTCTGTCGTCAGAAATAGACTTCACGTAGACTCGAGCTAAAAAGCGTGTCAATGTGGTGGCCATGTTGGCAGGGGCGACTTCCCCGTCAAACCGATGTATGGACAAATGTGCTGATCTTGGGAGGAGGGGTGAGAGTCCCGTGAAAGATCACTTCAAATGTTTTCAAACCCTTTTTTTGTAACATTAATTTATAATTTTTTTTTTACAGTACTAAGTATATTTAAGTTGCGACAAAAGTACAAAACTTTGTTGTTGTTTTTTTTTTGGGTTTTTTTTTACAGTGTGGCTGTTTTTGGTTCATTAAAAAAAAAAAAAACACTTCGATGTAACATTCAAAAGCTCTAACGGACAACCCGCTCCCGTGGTCTGTTAAATCAAGGTTCCGCTATATTGTATAAAAGATCAGTTTGTCAAGCAAAAGATTCTTTTCTGACTTTGTTTTGGTGGCAAATGCTTCCATAAATGAAGCTGCAGTGTTCGTACATCTCAACGTGACCTAAATTCAAAACGTTTTAAAACTAAGTCAATTTGAAATCGAATTTGTTCTCTATCTCCCGTGTTGTCCAAAATAGTTACGGTGGCCTCCCTCACGAAAACCCCATCGCTGTTTTGTTGTTTTCGCAGTCATAACTGAGTGACGTCTACATTATCCATCAATCCATCCATCCTTTTTACGATCCGATTTATCCTCACAAGGGTCGCGGCAGGTTCTGGAGCCTATCCCAGCATTCTTCAGGCAGTAGGTGGGGGACACCCTGAACCGGTTGCCAGCCAATCGCAGGGCACACAGAGATGAAGAACCATCCACACTCACACTCACACCTCGGGGCAATTTGGAGTGTCCAATCAGCCTGCCATTATGTTTTTGGAATGTGGGAGGAAACCAGAATACCCGGAGAAAACCCACACAGGGCCGGGGAGGACATGCAAACTTCACACAGGAAAGCCGAAGCCGGGATCGAACCCACAACCTCTGCACTGTGAGGTCGACGCGCTAACCACTGGAACACCGGGCCGCCCTCTCTACATTATATTACTATGATTCTAAAGTTATTATGAGATGATGATAAAATCTTGATTTAAGATATCTGAATGCCAATTACGGCCTTTTTTTAATGTTATTTTTTGATTCATAGATTCAATTCTTTTGAGGACTTTTTTGGGACCTGCGAAATCCCTGAGCTGAAGGACACAAAGTCTAGACATCCATGTTAAAAATGTCACATTTTGGTGATAGGAAAACAAAAAACCGAGACCATGATGAATAATTTTTGAACCCTTTGCCAGCATATAAACCGTAAACCTCAGTCAGAAAACAAATCTTGTGCCTCCAATTTCACATAACAGTGCCTATATAATTCGAAGAAGCCTTTTTGAAGTGCTGCACTTTACATTGTATGCAACGACTTAATTGTCTCCATGTGGTGAATAATGTGTGGATCTGGGACAGTATTGCACAGGCTTTTCCCGAGAAGCTAACGCCCACGTTAAGCGTCGCTGTTAACAACAACGAACGGCACACCCAGCTTTGTATTTTAAGTATTTTCTGCACAGTACTGGAGTAGGTGACAGTGTCAATGTAGGCTAGTGCTAACCCAACTGTCATTTCCCGTCGACCTAACACCGAGTTTGTTAAATCGACGTGGAACAAATTAGTAAATATTGACAAGGATAAACACCTTTGACTTTCATATTAGTAAAGAAACAATTGGTAATCGTGTTGATTGTCAACGAGGACGTTCTTTGAGTGTTTTTTAGCATTCCAAAGGCTATCGGGAGGCTACTAGCGTTAACTAGTCGATGTTAACCAGGCGGCCGGGTACTTCAGACTCACCTTCCTCTCATTTTCACCGCATCAGACCCGTGAAGTGCCGTCAACTCGGTCGCGCGAAAACAACGCGGAAGCTGTCACGCAGATCCTTGGGAATCAGGTAAACTTTTTGAAATGACCTGCCGTAACAGAAAACCGGTGCGGCTTGCTTTGCTACACGACTGGTTAGCATTCACGATTTTGGCTTCCGGGTGGAACTCAGTCAGGGTCATTTGCTTCCGGATAAAAGAAAGGTCTTTGTTAATATACATTAGTAAATTACAGCCTTATCTTGTATGCGTGTTTTGTAAGAATAATCACATACATCTAAATCATTTCAATTGATTATTTTGAAAAGTGACATCAAATATGTAGTCGGCGGTTTAACAAGGCCGCTTCATGTAGTTCACACACCACTCAACATACCACACGAGGTCGCTCTTCCATCAGTACTGAATTTATTATTCAAAAGAGCTCAAAATTCAGCATAAATGAAATAGAGTACGGAATTGTTACATGTTATTACTGCCACTACCGTTCACACAAAACACATTAAGTGATTAGAAAAAATGTTTATTGCTTACTTGTAAAGTGAAAAGCTGAAATATTGGAAATCTATTTTCAACGATGTTGGGTTAGTGTTTCAAGTTCAGGGTTTCAAGACATTTAATTTTGATTATTGTTCCTCGCCGTGATCCAACCTTGGTAAATATATATATACATTTCCACAAAACTGACGTATATTGTCCATCCATCTGAGTTGCTGGCAACCAGTCCAAGATGTACCATGCCTCACAGCCAAAGTTAGTTGGAATAGACTCCAGATCACCTGTGACACTACTGAGTTTAAGTACAATAGAAAATCGATGGATAATGTACATTCGTTTTTGTTTTTTTTAATGAATTTACTACGACAAAAAATAATCAAAAAGGTATTTTGCCCAAAAAAATTGTATACCCGTTCGATAATTAATGAAATACCTCAAACCTTAAGCTTGGGAACATCTTACTTCCCCCACAGTAAATCCCTGGGTCAAAGGAAAAAGGGAGGACAACATGTTAATCTGGAAATCAAGTACATTCTGTATCCCTGTTTACAGCCATAAGACAAATGGTGAGTCCGTTACCTGACAATAATAGGACAAAGAAATGTGAGACAACCACTTTACTATACATACATCATTATCAAACCATTAGAACGGCAACATTATGATTGGATACATACTGTAAATACATTATGGATTTTTACGCGTTCTCTTCCCTGCTGGCGTTTAACATCTCGCTCACACTCCATCATGTGACCTTGGAGGGAGGCAGACAGACGAAGAGCAGGCTAGCACAGCTGTTGGCCATTTAGCTCTGTCCTTGAGGTTTCACTGATTTGATTCCAGGTTGTCACAGCCAACATAAAAGGAAAACAAATGCCATAGGCTGGTGTGATGCTGTGCCATTCAGACTGCGAACAGTTTATTGCATGATAACTACAGCTGAAGAGGGGGTTCTGATAGTATCGAACAGTATTGCACCTTAAGGTGCATCAAGGAGAAGTAGGTCACAAGATCATCATTTGCTGCATGATGTCACTGAAGCCTGAGGTTAGTGGAAGCATTGCAAGCTGCAGTGCTAGATTTTTAGCCTAAATGCAGCACCATGCACTCTAAAAACAGGCAGTGTAGTTCACTTTGATAAGTGCATGTATTTCCACTTTTATATACTGGACAGTACCTACCTACCTACTTACCTACCTACCTACCTACCTACCTACCTACCTACCTACCTACCTACCTACCTACCGACATTTCTGATGGAATTCAATGTGGCGATCAAACACTAGTCAGAATATGTAAAGTGAAATGTTGCCCAACAACTGAATAAGAAGACATTTCTGACACATCAATTGCTGTAATTGAAAAAAAAATCAATCGTTCAACACATTCAATCTGAGTATGCTAATCGACCTTTATCTTGTTCAAATTTCAAAACTATTTTCATCATTGGAAATATGGTGAATATAAATTATCTGAATGTCTGTTATCTGCTACACGGAAAACTAGCTGAAAGTGAATCAATAGTGTGTCTGCACTGGTTGCATTGAAACAGCGCGTTTCATTTTGGAGTCACCAACACACACACAGGTGTAAAAATTGGTGCAACTGCATTTTCATGCCAGGGTTTAGCTACCGTGCTACAAATGGATGAGCTTTTTTTCTATTCCATTCCTCTGGTGCACCTGAAAAAACAGGGCTAAGAGGGGAGCCACTTCCATTGGATGGTAAACAAGCGAGCTCTGTTCACTCCCACAACAGTGCAGACGCCCCTTCCTAACTGCACCCGTCGACCAAAATAACAAAAGAAAGAAAAATCCATCCATATGCAAAGTTAGATTGCCCTTTCCACTCGCCTTGCATTGGGCATGAAAATAGGAACCCAAGTGACTCTTAGGTGAGTGGCGATCTCTGATGGAATTAGGTTATAAGAGACTGACAGCTGGCTTCTTCACTCACACTTAACTACATTTTGGAATCTTTTGACAAATAGTCAAAACAAACAGACATGTACGCACACTCAAACATACACACACCCACACACACATACAAACCAGGACATACACAGGCACACACTGGAACTTCACCTACACCAACCGTATGGCTCTAAAGCACCGGAGGGCCACAGCTCAATAAAAGTGGGAGCTGCTGTAGGACGAGCAGTGATTTGATGACCTAGCGGGGAATATCATATCATCAGGCCCGGGGACATGTTTATCATTCACCTCACGCCAACACTGAAGCAGCATTGTGCAAGTGCAAGGCACCCATTGACCAAATTAAAGGCTGTACTGCACCCAATAGCATGCACGTTATCATCCTGTAAGATTGGAGCTATTGTTGGTCAGAATTTTACGACTGACGCCGCAAGCTTATCTGATGGTGTGTAGGAGTTAGCGTTTGTTATGATTTGTTTGTTTGTTTTTTTGATGCATTTGTAAAAGGCGCACTTGAGCTCATCTGACATCTGATCTACATGTAACTAAATGCCATGCACAAAAGTGATAGATTCGGTGTCCATGGTTACAATGTAAATGTGTTATCACCTTGGCGACAAGGGCTTTGAGTCACGGAGGACAGCCTCGATATGATGATACAGTGGAACCTTCAAAGTCGAACACAGTCAGTTTCAGTTTACCACCAAGTTGTTCGAATTTCAACATCTTTTTTCCTACTGGCAATAGTATAACAGTTCAATCGTTGTATAATAGAATGAAATAACAATCATAGAAAATAAAACTACTGTACTTGCCCTTTGAAGATACCTGGCAAACATATAATAGAGAGGAAAGAGGAAGCAGTTTCTTTTGAAGATAGGACAAGAAAACCGTTATTTGTCTCACAATGGAGAAATTCGCAAATTCTTCTGGTCATTCTTACGCTAGCCTTTAGCCATTACAGTAATATCGACTATCAATATATCCATCCATTTTCACTAGTGCTTGTCTTCATAGGCTTGTGGGTGAACTGGAGCCTATCCCAGATGGTTTTGAGTGAGAGGTGGTATTTCCCCTTGGACTGGTCACCATCCAATTTTATCTTACTGCACTATGATATGTTTGACTTCGGAGGTTTAACCCCCCCCCCCCCAAATCTTTTGATTTTAGCACGTTTTCGGCTATAACTTTAGAGGTTCCATTGTTACGTAATACTTTTAACTTTACTTTAAAGCCAGGTAACAGGTCATGAGGATGCACAAATCTCGACTGATATTACCTGTCACTGCAATAAAATTACACTGATTCATAATTAAATCAGTACCCGCAGCTCCCGTCGCTCTGCTTTAGTGCCAGTCAAGTTTTAATGAGATTGCACATACAGTATCGTGATGGCTCAGTCAGCTGTAGTAAAATAGGCAGCCCGTGCCTGCAGCAATGCCCTCTGTGCCGTTCCCAACAGGAATGACTTGGCTGGAAATTGCTGTACATCTCCGATAGTAATTAGGAGACCTCCTGTCGTGAAGAACATTTATTAAAATCCATCGTCACCCTCATCCCCCATTGTACACTAGCCCACCATCAAACCTGGAAGCTTCCAACCATTCTATAGGTCTGAGCTTTTATGAGGTATGTACAAGGACATATGTCGGTGGGTGACCAAAAATTAGTAGTTTTTCTCATAGGGACAGGGAGTTTTTGATTTTTTTTTTTTTTGTGCCTTAAATTAAATTAGCATTTAGAAACTGCATTTTGTATTTCCTTGGGTAGTCTCTGTGTGTTATTTAAATTTTTTTGATGAATTAAAACCTTTGTATGCAAAGAACACAGAAATCAGGAAAGGGCAAAATACTTTTTCACAGCACTGTACAGTGAGGTATTTTGACTGCTCTTGTTTATACTCGGCAACATTTTGTATGTATTTTGTTTGTTTTGATAGTTTTTGTACAACCATGGGGCAATTGACTTAATACATACCACTGTAAATGTTATGAAATACAAATAACGAGTGACCAACTGCTTACCAAATATTTAGCCCTCTATCTCTATATAAACGCTCACGATGAATCTAATGAAACTTATCAACCCTTAAGAGGGGTATTGTTATTCCATAGTGGTATAAATCTTTGCAATATCTCGGAATATATACTGCATTCGGAGTGGAAACAATGTAAAAAAAAAAATAAAACATTCTCCTCCAGTTCTTCTTGTGATGGCACAGCTAGATAGATGGATAATTAGTACATTTGCCTATTGTGCCAAAAATAAAGATGAAAAGACAAACTTTCAGAGCAGGCTTCCTTTTGTGTCTCCAGACACTTGAGCAACCTCCTCAGTGGGAATGTTAATGTGCCAGAGCTGCAGAATCAAGCACTCTTCAAGATTGATCCAAACTCCTGTTTTGTTTTTAGCTCAGAAAGGAAAACCTCCTTGCTTGCCATCATTTTGCAAACCGACTTCTTTTTGTGTCGCACTTTGGCCAAATGAGTTTCAACCAGCAACTCAATGTCAATGACATGACATAATGAATAGGGTGCATTTGGGGAAACTCCCCTTATTACCTGATCTTTTTTTTTTCTCTCTCTCTCCCTTGTTACTTGCTGAGAAACTCAGTTATTTGTTGATTGGGTGCTCAGCTCAAAGCATCAATGCATTTTTTGGGAATCATTGTGTGGCATTTTGGTGCACTAGAACCTTGTTGAAGTGACTGGAAGAGGTTCATACAGACTTAAATAGTGCTTT